TTATCGTTTCGGATTTCTTTCGGGAGAAATTCACAGTACTCAAAATTGGTCTTGTTGATCTATTTGGATAATTATCAATGCCGGTTACTCGTAATATGTCTGGAAAACTGGAAAACGCTGAAGAATATCTTCGAGTCAATTTATCTTCACCGCAAGTTTCTTCTTTACCTGTTTCCTTATCTGATTTTGATAATTTTAAACACACCCCTCATGTCAGCCTAGGTTTTGATAATATTGCTAGGGGAGGTAGTGTAGTAGTAGACTCTGATGTTGATTCGAATGTTGCTACCGAATTAGAGATTCTAGAGCTTAAGGTTCAAGAGCTTAGACTTCGCAGCAAACGACGAAAATTGGAGAGCGAGTGCTCTCAACAAGTTAAGACCACAGCCAGCTGCGTTCGATCTTGCGCCAATCCTTCGACAAGCCAATTCCTAGACGGTAGCACCAACTATTGCCCAGGACCACCCCCAGAGTCAAATCGTACTGCCACACCAGTGCAACCACTCCTGAACTCAGTTAGCCCCATTAGAATGCCTCAAATTGAGATGGATAAGTTCGATGGTACACCAACTAAGTTCCTGAAGTTTATAAGATGCTTTAACATGTTCATAGGAGAACAAACTAATGATGACAACCTACGGTTAATGCATCTCATACACAATTGTGTTGGTACAGCCAAGGAGGCCATAGAGCATTGCATTCTACTGCCCTCTGAGGTAGGCTATAGGAAAGCAATGGGGATTTTACGAAGTCAATTTGGCCAACCTCATGCAGTTTCGGATGCCTTCCTCTCCGAATTACTGTCAGGCCCACAGCTGCAACCTGAAGATATAGCTGGGCTACAACGGTTGTTGAGACAGATGACCAATTGTGAGATAGCCTTATCTCAGATGAATTACATGGCAGACTTGGACTGCTCTACCAACCTTAAGTGCATTGTTCAGCGTCTCCCCCGGCACCTACGATGGAAGTGGGCAGAATTGGTAAACGATGGTTTACAGTTTGCTGAACCTAGCTTTCGTTACCTCAAAGAATTCCTCGAAGGGCAACTGTCATTGGCTACAAGCTGTTACGGCCAGATAGCTAATGCGAATAGGAACAACAACGAAGTAGGGTCCAATGAAAAAATGTCCAGAGCTATGCCTTCGCACAGCGTTAATGTCGTGAAGTCACGAGCCCAGAAGTCGTGCATAGTTTGCTTCACAGATCACGACTTATGGGAATGTCAACGCTTTTTGTCTATGAGTCACAAAGAGAGACTAGCAGTGTCAATGCGGCATAAGGTGTGCTTCAACTGTTTGAAACTTAATCACCGAGCTGACACTTGTCGTGCAGCAAGAGGTTGCGATATAGTGGGATGCACTAGACATCATCATAAACTTCTACACAATGAAGATAATTCAGCATGCCTGACTGTCAACTACTCTAGCACGGAACCCGGAACTTCCTTTTTAGGATATGTGCCGATTCGTATCTTAGGACCTAAAGGATTTCTAGATACCTATGCCTTTCTCGACAATGGTTCAGATGCTACACTACTGCTGAGTCATGTTGCCCACCAAATAGGACTAGAAGGGGTTAGTACATTGATGCAGGTAACATCTTTCTGTGGAACTACTTCTCAGAATTCATCCAAGGTTGATTTCGAAGTTGAATCCTTAATGGGAGATTACAAGACAAGGGTCACGAGTGCCTACACCGTGGAAAGCTTACCTGTAAAGAGACCTAAGACTCCTTCAAACGAACAGATGAAAAAATGGCCTCACCTGGCAGAAATTCCCTTTCTAGACGTCGAATGTAAACAGGTCAGTCTACTAATTGGGACTAATGTACCTGAAGCACACTGGGTGCTGGAGCAGCGTATAGGGAAATCCAACCAACCGTTCGCATCTTTGTCAGTTTTTGGTTGGTATTTATTGGGTTCAGGAAATAAATATAAAGAAGCAACCTCCATCTTCTGCTTAGAGGAAAGTGAATCAGTAGAGAACAAGCCTTTGCGAATACCTGATAAAATAGGTCAATGCGTAAATCTGGGGCCTCTTTCTCCTGCTCCTGAGAAGGACAATAAGGTATCCGAGGTGTTCCCTACGTCACCTAAACGTCCAAAAACAGAAATTGCAAAAGAAGTGGTGGACAAAGATGGTGGTATTTGGCTTCCTGTAAAGTCGACGTGTATTTCCCAATTGTTTGAGGAAAACCCATTAGATGACCACCATGATCGCATTGCGAAATTTATGCGAGAACAAAGTGTCATTTCCCAGCGACTTGGTTTTGAAGGACGGAATGAGAAGATATCAAGTCTGGATACAACATCATCGGTTCAAACTCATTCAGAAGTTGCAAGTATTCATAGTCAAGAAGTCAGAACCGAAGATCCACCACGACCGTGTGAACCTCTTACACATTTCGACCGTGGTTCTAGTGAAACTGAATTACAAGGAGGTCCCTCCAAGTGTTTAAAAGTCCACGCTGAACCAATCACACCTAATAGTCCGACAATAGTAAGTGATTCCGAGACACTGGTTTCTCCACATTTTATTCAAAGTCTTAATTCAAGCCCTTCATTAAGCAACATCGAAGTACAGTCCCCATATTCGAAAAAGGCCAATCGTAACCGAAAGCGTTCAACAAAACGGAAAGACCTACCTCCAAGTGCTTCTACTACTGCTGCTCCAATCGCGTATGAAAATCAAGAACCAGAATTCACTTCAGCTCTCAGTCCAGCAGTATCAACTAACTTGGCTAACGAAGAATGTACAGATACAATCCAATCGACCCATACTATTGTTCGTCGGTGGCGCCGATCTCTATTATCAGCACTCTCCACAGTATGCAGTCGTCGTCATGCTTATGTGTTCATGCATCCTGTAACTGAAGTTATCGCTCCAGGATATAGTACGGTTGTTTATGAACCAGTGGACTTAACTTCTCTTCGGCGCCGCATGGAGTCATCACTCAGTTGTTTGATTGGTGCTCAACCGTGTACAGCTTTAAATCCACCTTATGCTAGCCACCGTGGCGGAGTATGGGAGAGGTTGATCGGAAGCGTACGTCGAGTGTTAAGCCCAGTTTCGAAGGAGCAAGTCCTCACAGATGAATCACTCATGACCTATTTGACAGAAGCAGAAAGGATACTAAATAGTAGGCCGCTAGTACCTGTTTATGATGACTCAAGTCAGTTGGATGTGCTGACACCAAATCATATTCTCTTATCAAGAAATCCTGAACAGGTTCCTGAAATCGACGTTAGTTTATGTGGACGTTATTCACGACGATGGAAACAAGGGCAACTCCTTGCCGATAAGTTTTGGAGACGGTGGAAGCGGGAGTACTTGACGACCTTACGATCGCGTGCAAAGCGGGTTCAACGACATCGAAACTTACAAGTGGGAGACCTAGTACTAGTGACTGCGGAGCCTTCACCTCGCAATCGTTGGTCAATGGGAATAATTACAGGTATTACGGCAAGCTGTGATGGGCATGTCAGAAAAGTGGATATCAAGACACCGAAGGGTATAGTTAACCGAGATGTGCGTAAGGTTTGCCTATTAGAAGGTATTGAGGAGAGATAAGCACTTTGTAGGATATATAGCTGAATAGTGGATGCAGATGTGGCGAGAGTAAATTGTACCATTTCTGTGTCTTACTAGCAGGTAGAGTAGGGAAAACCAGGCTGGTTTTGAGGGGGCGGTGTTAATTCCTTTCCTACCTGTTCATTCTCGATCTTTCCTTTGTTCAACATTATACTACTTGCCATTAGTAAGTAGTATGATTTTTATATGTTAATTTATAAAAATGACATTTGCTTACAACTGCAGTTAAATTACTTGTTCTATTATCATTCTATTAATGTATAGTTCTTATTTTTCTTCTCCTTAAACATTATTTGCTGACCTTACCCTATAGTGTATGCTTTACTATTGAAAGTTGTTTGTTCATATTTGTTTATTCTTTGCTTGGCATCCGCGGGCCGTTTGAACCGACACGTGGATCGACCTTGACACAGCATTGCTGTTTTTACTTATTGACTGCACAGTGGTTGTGCATTTGACGGCATTTAGCCACAGACACCTCACATTTTGAGGTTTGTATATTATATATCTATTTTTATGTAATAAAGTACCGTATTGCAGAATATCCTGTATTTCGGACTTTACGCGTCACTCTACGTGTGGTTAAATCTATAATTTGGATTATCGTTTCGGATTTCTTTCGGGAGAAATTCACATCAACATTGCATAGAATAGTAATTTTGGATTTAGTATGGCAAGTGGGATAAGTGAAACAATACTGGAAACGGTTCAAAGTGTGAATAACAATAATAATTGTGGTGGTGGGGGGAAGGTACATATTAGATTAACTGAATAAACAAAAGGAAAAATAAATGTTTATCCCTTTCCTGCCAAGGCACAAATAGGACTCTAACATACATCTTTTGTACACAAATGTCTAGCTTAACTTCATGAATGGTTGAGGTCTACACTGTATTTAGAAGTTTATAATGAAGAAACCATGGCTGGTAAGTTAGCATGAATTCGACAGATGATCTTAAAATCATGGTCAGGGTTGGTAAAGCGATAGGAGTCGATCAAGTGTTCTAGAGTAGAGCTTAACACACCCTTTCTTTCTCCTTTTGTAGTTTTAAGTGTTGCAATGTCAACCTCACTTTCAATTTTGTGCTGGCAGGTTTGATTCACACTTTTTTCATTATTCACTCGTCTCTGGGTCCATACAAACACAATATTTCGAATTCCTATTCCATGTGGACTGTGGTGGGGGAAAATATGATTCAGCTATTGGTGCGATTACTTATGGATAGATCAATGCTTCTAACTGAAACCCACCCTAAATGTAGCATTCTTAATCACAGCTGACTTTAGAAAGCGAAAAACATAAGCTTACTTGATTATGAGATGAACACATTCACTAGACGATCCACAGGTTCACTCATATTTATGCATTTCAGCCTTTCTAATCCTCCTTAATGACATATAACAATAATGTTTCTTAAATTCCCCCTACAGACTGACTATCAGGATCAGATAGAAAACCGTATCCAATTTAAAACAAATGCTATACTACGTCAATTCGGTCGACATCGTATGCTAACTGGAGTTGGACCAGAGAATTTATTCAACTTGAATATAACTGAACTACCGATAGTCTGTGAAAAACCATCTACTCAATTATTTTCACCAGATGTATATAAAAAGGCTCATTTAAACAAACCTTACAATGATTCAATTTTCAATAGTTTACAATTTAAAATGCTTCCAAATCGACATAGAGTTTCCGGTGATTTCATTTTAATGAAAAATAGATTATAAGTTGGATTATTAGTTCAATTTTTTTTAATTTAATCGCTTATTGATTATGTTTGATGAAAGTCGAATAAGGTCATCACTGGAGAAACATTGTCAGTCAGTTAAAGTGCTTTATACTCCTCCTTAGTTTCGTTGTGTTCTTCGGGATCGGGACTTTGCGACCATTTCAGCTTTCATTTTAAATCAGAGGCGAAGATATTGTTCAGAAAGTGGATAAAAGCTTTGCATGAAAGCTATTCAGCCCAGAAAACCCAAAATATCCCAGAACAACTATGTGGGATATAAATCCTCTCAATTTTTTGAATATTTTCCACACTTTAGTGAGTTTTTAAATGTGGGTTCATTACAAATCTGGTTATGGAATGATATTTTAGAAACCAAAGGTATTGACGTTCACGGATAGTACGAGATATACTAACGCAAGATCTAATACCCACAAATTCTATAGTTTTTTGTTCCGCATAGACCAAGGGCAAGGTAAAACACCAGAATTGATCGTCCAAATTACGAGTTACATTTTGGGACCAAATCGGAGTGCAAGATGATTGCTTAACTAGCTAGGGATCATGCACGAACGAACGAACGAACGTGACACGATGGCGTACCAAATAACGTGGAGACCTGACCAGAAGCATTCAGCTAAACAAGATGATTTAAACAGTGAGGGTCAGCATCCAATGTTCAACGGTGAATGTTGTGGCCAATAATTCTGGGGAATTACCTACCGCTACAACATCATATAGAGAATCAGGGAGTATTAGACTACTGTCTTGTATTTGTTTGCAGTACTCATCCACCACCCAACCAGGGGTCGAACTCAGGAAATTCTGCTTAAAAGGAAAGCCCATTGGCCATTCAGTCAGTGCGGTAGAATCTAACAGCTCATGAATAGTATCTTCTGTAAAAATGCTATATTCAGGGTGACTACCAGCCACTTGTACGGTTAGTCAATTTATTTCCAGAATCAGTTATCCGTCAGTTGTTGTAGAATGGATAGCTTAGCAGTAGAGATTCTAAGATGACCAGTAAGTCACACAAGATGGAATTGTAAACTTAACATGATTTCTTTGATTCGTCCCACTAGTTGGGATCTTCTTGTGGAAAAGATGTCACTTGATCTAAACATTAAACAAAAGTTAATGCATCATTATCGATTCGGCTAGAATTCACTTTTGGCGTGCTCTTTTTATGAGTTTTATATTGAAATATTACCATTAAAATCAGAGTTCATCACAACCTACCCTTCACATGTTCTTCACCATACTTTAGGCTCCACACTGATATTAGAATAGAATCTTGGCACTGTGGTAGAGCATAATTTTATCAAATATCAATTCCATTTGATAAAATACACAATGATACAGTATTATTCATTTGCTGATGAGCACATTTTATTGCTCATAATTCTGTCGAGGCACTCATATATAACCTCTTTAAATGGCTGAACTCTTTATTATCCTTTGACTGTGTAAGCATTACTATTTTCTATATCTCTGGTATTGGTGTTGTGCCATCTGCATTGCACATGTTCGGCGTAGATTTGACGACCAAGGATTCAGCGATTTACCTTTTCATCCTGTGAACTATTTTAATTTCTAGAACTCTAACTCTGTCCCACTCTACTGTGTGGCCATGTCTCAATGCATGTATTGCAGTTGCTAAGTTTATTTCATTTAATTTAATGATCAAAACTAATAACCCCAGTAGGATGTATGGTGTTGTTAAAGTTCATAAGTCAGGATACCCTATTAGGCCTATAGTTGATTTGAGAAATTCACCTACTTATGAATTATCTAAATATTTAGCCATGGTATTAAATCCCCCAAAAATCCACTCGAAGTCTAGACTAACTAATTCTTTTGAACTAAAACACAGATTAGATAATTTAAAATTAGATAATGAAGAGAAAATGGTTAGTTTTGACATTGTCAGTTTATACACACGTATACCAATAAATATGGCTATGGAGGCAGTCAGAAACGAACTCATTTCTGACCAAGACCTCGAACTTAGGACAAAAGTGCCACTTGAGGACATAATGCTGGGAGTACAGCTATGCCTGACTTCCACAGTATTTAAATTCCAGAGTGAAATATACAAACAAACTGAAGGAGTTGCCATGGGATCACCAATATCCCCAAATGTAGCAGATATATTCATGGATAAGTGGGAAAGCATAGCGATTGAAACGTTCACCCCCACCCCAAAAGTATGGTGGAAATACGTAGATGACACATTCACTGTACTGAGAACGCAAGATATAGATAGGTTTTTCGAACACATCAACTCGAAGGTTGAAGCAATTCAATTCACTTATGAATTGGAAAATCAGGAAGGGGAGCTCCCAATGTTAGATTGCAACGTAAAAAGGAAAGAAGATGGGAAGTTAAACACTAGTGTTTACAGGAAATCCACACACTCAAACAGATATTTAGACTTCCGATCATCCCATCCTATGTCAGTAAAAATAGGATTGGTGAAATGTTTAAATGACAGAGCACAAAAACTAAGTAGTACCAAAGAAAATCTAAAACAGGAACTGATACACATAAAAGAAGCTTTGAAACTTAATAATTACCCGGATAAATTAGTCAAGAAATATGTAAGGAAATGTAAAAATAAAATAAATAATGATAGTAGCGATAGTGATAATAACAATAATAATGATAATAATAGTAGTGATAATAATAATATTAATGACGACACCAACAATAAGGAATCTAAATCATCAGTAGTAATTCCATACAAGGAAGGAACCTCGGAAGCCTTACGCAGAATTCCTTACAAGGCAGGAATAAAAATGGCATTCAAACCCACAAACTCAATTAGAAACAAGCTTTGTCGGTTAAAGGATCCTGACTGTGGAGCCCATTAAACAAAACAATTTAGTTTATCTAATACCCTGCAATGATTGTCAGGTCAAATACATAGGTCAAACTGGTAGAACAGGGGCAGTCAGACTAGCTGAACATAAAAACCTAGCAGCAAAATCTAGATTGGTTGACCCGAATGAGATAAGAAATCTAGAGAATAGTTCAGCTATCAAGCACTACATGCAGTCACACACAACCATACAATAGTGATGGGATAGGATGACAGTTTTAAAATCTAATGTCACAGGGTATAGGGAGAGATTGATAACAGAAGCTTTGTTTATCGAATCAACTGCAAAAATGTGTAATAGGAATGATTCAACACCTGTTCACGCAGATATCTGGAAAATTCTACTACCCCACGACAAATAGGAGAAAACAAAGAAAACTATAAAACTCAAGTTTAAAAGTCGTGTGATCACAATGATGATATGATTATGATTAATAAATTTTGTTCGAAACTGTGTCATCCAGTAAATAATACTGTTTCACTGTGTGATATATCTAATAAACAAAATAATATGGAATTAGTTGCTGAGTTTGTTTCTAAATTACTCATCTTCTTGGGGTCAGTCATTCCACATCTAGTTAAATTATTATGTTCCAGTAACCGGACGTGCACTGAACTACTAATCCAACCTATTTAGTCGAACTCACATTTGTTGCAGAGCATTTTGTAGATTAAACCATCCTATATAATTTGATCAGAATAGTCCTTCAGTACACAGAGCTTCCTCTCAGTGAATTTGTAGGTTTGAATGTACTGCAAATTGTTATTATTATAGTTATTAAAATACAAGTTTGGTACATTATGGACACCAGGAGATTCTTCACAGAACATTCCAGTAGTTTGTACGAGGACTAGTATACTGTCCGAACGCACAAACCAAAGCAGATAACCTGTCTTAAGGGGACAATTCCGGAACATGTGGCTTGAAATTTGATCCACAAGTTGATAGAGCGGCATAAGGGTTTGTTTTCTCATGGCTGACAGTGACCGGAATAAGTTTATATACTGTTCGATCCTTTTAGATTCTGTAGTCCATATGAACCATTTGGTTTGGAATTAGAGATTTTCAGTTTCCTTAGGGAAATCTGTGTGCCAGCCGGTCTGGTTGCAAGCACCAGATTTGAGTGACACCCCAGTCTTGTGAAGGAAATGAATATAACTTACGTGGCAGAGGGAAGCTATGAACGCGTGCCCGTATGGCAGCATTTCGAAAGAAAGACTGAAGTATACCACCCTGGGCCACAACACGTCGTTTATTAGGGCAGGCTGCAATGTACAGCAGGAACGAGGCAGCATTAATACCAGATAAGTGGGAGATATCACTACCAATAAAATCAAAGGACAGAAAATAATAGAGTTATATAAATAAAATCTGGAAGAGCTTATGTGAGTACTTACCATGACTATAAAGGATGAACTTCCCTGGAAATTTCATCAGTAAAGAAATAGTACTGTATCACAGTGTGTTTTTGCCAGATAAAGTTATTCTGTGATGGAATAACACCTGATATCAATGGTCGGCCTGCAAAATTTGGGCGACCGATATCGCATGCTGAAAATTCCACACTTGTACTGAAAATACTGTGTGGTTTCAAGGTATAATCAAAATATAAATTAAATTAGGTCTTAGACAGATAAGCGGAAGAATATGGTGTTCAATATCTAAGTTATTGCACTTTGTGAAACAGTCTTTAAATAGAAATGATATGATCCGCTGTACTGTTTAGAAGACAAATATCATGTACGTGAAGACAGCTGTAATCCACTTACCTCTTTATCAAACATAATGTCTTCTCAGCCAGAAACGGATTCTCTTCAATCCACATTATCTTGACTACTTATGACTATATGAAGGGTTACTTTGCAACCAGGATTCCAAGTGTAATCAAACGGTAATATAATTAGATGACTTAACGGAAGAAATTATGCTGATGTTGTGTAGTTGAAAAGGTGACAGTTAGAGAGGCCTTTGTCGATTGAAGTATAGATAAGCAAACTATGTCGAAAGGGTGAGCATTTTGTAAGTCTGATGGCAGGCTGATATGAGGTATCCACATGAAACTGACACAGTGAAGATCTACAAAACTGTCTTAAATTATAACATCAATCAAAGCTACTTTCAGATTTAAAATGAATCCCCCTCTCAACATAACACTGATTTAAACAAAATGAAAAAAACGATAACAGTGTTCGTATTTTCAAGAAGTCATTGAACCTTGAACATTAAAAAATTTTCACATAGTATATTTTATCTATGCAAGATTTAATCTAAGTCCAAATATTAATTTCATGATATATAGATATGTCTTATGTGTGAATGAGAGTTGAAAATTAACAGAATAATTAAAAAGTCCGCTGTTCAATTCTCTGCGTTCAATGATCAATCTTTCATATCTCATAACTTCTTTTGTTGTTATTAAGCGTGTGAGCAAAGTAAGCATAATCATGAGATATTGATGAAAGAGTTTTCTCAAATCGAAGTAGAACAAAGTGATAAAACTGGAGACCAAATTTCAAGTAAACACTTTTAATAAAACATATACTCAAAAGAAATTCTCAACAAAATCAATATCGTTATTTATGCTACTGTAACGCATGAAAGGAGACAAAAGAATTGGTAAGGCAGGGTTTATTAGGAATTCGACACAAACATATAGGGAAATTATGTACACCTTTTCTGAAAATCAATCGTCATTTGCACAGATTTTCCGCATTTTGCTGCTTCTGCTCTTCCTTTGGCTTGTGTTTCTTTGTCTTCTTTTCGTGTCTCTCATGTTTCACCGCAGTGCAGTGGTTCATTTCCTCTCTGTGTGACGTCAAATCTATCTCTCTGTTGTTTGATAAGTTTGAATCAATGAACGTTCGTTTTTATACTACTGATAAATCTTGTCAGTAGCACACGCAACACTACTCGTAATATGCGAATGTTACTACTAACATTTATACTACTATCAATCATAAAAGTAGTCCCAATGATGCTAATACCATTTTCTTAATATACGCGTGCTAATACTGTAACAGCATAAAGTAAAACACGGAAGCAAAGGTATATTTTCAATTGAACAAACCCCTATTTGTGCACATAGAGTTTATATTATTTAACCAATCCCTGAGCTTGTGATTTTGGTTTCCATTAAACGAAATGAAGTGGATTGTTTAAATAGATAAATCCTATTCTGTTGCTAATGCGGCATTTCAACTATGGGAATATGTGAGAATAATATTCCGTCGGAACACATTGTCCGTATTACACCGCTACAATACCACTACTTCTACCGATGTTAATACTAATAATAACAGCTTTATTCGCCAAAGAATTCTCAGCGTAGTTTATTGCACAATATTTTCAAATCATCCAGGACCTTCAGGTGAAGCAGCAATCTGCAGTACCTCATGGGATACAATACCGTTCAATCTGAAAATATGTAGTAATCCCTTGTGGTGTTTTTGCTTTCCTCACAGAGAAATGAGCAGCCGTAGGTTGAAAGCCAGTTAAAAATATGAGCAATGAGTACATTTAGCCAATCATGAACATAATTGGCTGGTTATAACAAAGAGAAATATAGAGAAAATTTATGCGCTATATTGTATTGAAATTCAGTTAGCCCAGTGATTCTAGCAGGCCATCGCACTTACTGTCACTAATAATTACTAAAATAGTAGTATAACAACTGGTATTATTGTCGTCATTATTAATTCTACTACCGCTATCACTTCTAATACTAACACTAACAATGTGGTGTGTGCTACTGACAGGGTTTATCAGTAGTATACAAACAGACGTTCATCGACACAAAAACATCAAACAGCAGAGAGATAGATTTGACATCATAGAGAAAGAAAATGAACCAGCGTGTTATGGTGAAACATGAGAGACACGAAAAGAAGGCAAAGAAACACAAGACAAAGGAAGAGCAGAAGCAGCACAATGCCAAAGATCTGTGCAAACGACGATTGATTTTCAGAAAAGGTGTACATAATTTCCCCATAGGTTTGTGTCGAATTCCTAATGAACAATCCGTTACCAAGTCACTTGTCTTCTACCATTACGCCACCCCTTCTACTACTAATAATAATACTAATAGTACTACTTCTGTTGTCATTTTCCAACCAACCAATTATGATTACTCAAGCGATTGACAAGCTAACCAGCTGTGCCACTTCTGTGTGTATCTACAAATGTATTTGCTCTTGTGGCGAAAGCTGGCTATATAGGGCGAACAACTAGACAGCCTAACAATTATATTGATGAGAAAAGAGAATGCTTACACTTAAATTGAGATGCAATTCTATGGAAACGGCGAATTATGGCACCTGGGTGATTAAAGAGAAAACAATATATCACTCCACACTACTTATTATCAGTGAGTAGTATACAGTGGAATAGGAAAGTAGTAACAGTTCAATGTTAGTTAAGAAAGAAATTAAAAGCCGTAATTATGACAGATAATTCGCACCTGTATCAAAGCTCTTCATATGAAAGTAGGTCATAAAGTACAGGTGTTATGCCGGAATATAGTTGGTGTCTCTGCTGTCTTTCTAATAAGAATAATTCTGCCAGACAGCAAATTTTCCTGGAAATTCTTACATGGAATGCGGCCTTTTGAAAATGTGTTAAGAGTGGCGATGGCGTAGAGTCTCTGGTGCTATTTTGATTATGTAAACAATTACCTTTTTTTTCCTCACGTTCCCCAGTGGAACATAGGGCTTCAAGCCAGTGGCTTGACGTTGCTGTAGCAGTTTTATTTTACAGGACGGGGTTGGTAGCCTCATGTCCAACCAATACGCTTCACCAGCACTACTTCTGACTAAGCAAAGTAAAGTCGGCCGCGGATCGAACTCCAGACCACGTGAATAGCGCCCTAACGGCTATGCCACCGACGCACAACAACCACTATTCATATCTGGCAAACCTAAGGTACACACACACATACAAAAATAAGTATATATAATTGCGATTGTGCAGGTAATTGGATGAATTTGCCGAAAATAGACTCTTCGCCGAACTACGCTGAACTACTGGTATTCCAGTGCATCATCAATCAATAGACACGTTGACACAGACAAAATTTACCAATCGATAAGAAGGAAATCTCAAATACACAGGGTCAAATTTCAGGTCAACAAAACAATCAGTTGCAATACAAGTAGCCTGGAGGGTGTGAAAACACACAAATTAACCAATCACGTTCAGGGTCACTCACCAGGGGAGATGACTAATAGACTCGTGGAGAAATCTTAAAAGCTCACTTCAAATTGAAGCACCCGGTGAAGATGTTGCCTATTAATGGGCAAAGAAAGCTTCACAAATACACAACTACATCAAAATACGTGTTTTGTTTTCACACTAATATCCGCATGGGGGTTATTCACGAATTAATTCAAAAGTTCCAGCACTATGAAACGATTAACACATCATACAAGTAGAACTACGGTGTAGTCTACTTATTGAAGTAATTAGATGAACAAATTTGTGGATGGAAAACGTACCATGACCATTAGTTATTTAACAAATCTAACAGATGTCTACTGGACGTTATCATCACTAACAGCAACAGAATCATGAGTTAATATCTAACAAGTGACGCAATTCTCTTAAACTGTAGAACTATACTAACACAATATATCCTTATTGTCATTGCATATTACACAATGCGTCGGTTTGAAAGGCAACCAAATGCTGTTAACCAAGTCTGTTATGGCAAGAGATAAGGAGTTTTCAAATAGCAAGGAAGATTTACACCAATGGCTTATGTAAATCTCACATACTGACATAAAAGCTGAAGGTGTTGTCACGCCATTAAACCAGCCAACCAAGTCAGAGAACACAACAGCATCAGAAAGAGAGGTGTGGGGGGGGGAGGTTAATTCACCTTCGCATACAGACATACTCCAATAAGAAGGCTTTTATCAGCTCAGCATATTCGCCTCCTATCTCCATTGACTTCATCCAATAACCGTATTGGGTAGGTGGTTCAAAGATACTCTATGCTGATGTGAATAGGTGTCCTGTGACATTGTGTTAAACCTGGAGAAATTCAAATCATGTTTGAGACAGTATTTCGTATCTCTGAACAGCGTCACATAACTGCACCTAATATTATGATTGGTAAATTAGTGTCACCTTCACGAAAATGACGTAACGTGTTCATGGCAGTACTGAATGCAGCCAGACACACTCACATAGAGACATACAAACAGCAAATAAAAATAAAGACATGCCAGAAGATATAGATATGTAATCATATATATTGAAACAATCCTCACATTTAGTTAACAGCGAACTCAACATGATAACGGTTGTCCATTTGATCACTTTCATACTCCTCACAGTTTCTCATTACACCGTCAATTCCTTAATGCCAAGACCATTAAAACATGAAGTGGGTGAATCATTGTGCAGCTTAGCTGAATTACTTTCCGCTGAACACGATTATCCATCATGTTATATACTGAAAGAAGCATTGAAAGTGTTCAACAAACGTTTTCTAGCCAGACAACTACAAAAGTCAAATGTTGAAGGAGTCTCGTGTAGTATTAGCACATTGAATATTGTCATTGACGCGGGTTGTGATGAGTCAGAGAATAAATTATGGCCAAGTGAATATATGGATGAATCATGTAGGTTCATTTCACCCCAACATCATCATGACTAACTAACTCACTAACAAACCACTGAAGATACAATCAGTATAATGGATGAGAAAATCGATATTCAATCGAATGAAGTATGGGGAACGTTGCGTGCATTACAGACAATTATACAACTGGTGCATAGGAGTAAATGGGGAGCTGTGAGTCCAGTGAAATAATAATAGTGATAATAACGTCGACCTATTCATATAGCTTGTAATAAATGAATATAGTATCGAAGATTCACCAAGATTCATTCACCGAGGATTTCTAGTCGATACTGCCAGACATTACATTAGTGTCGATGAAATTGAGAAGTTCATTGTAAGTCTCACTCTCTTCCTTGTTGTTCTTCTACTTATATTAATACTTCACACTCGTTTAGGATGCTATGGCGATTGTTAAAATGAATGTATTCCATTGGCATATGACAGATGACAGCTCATTCCCTTACGTCTCTTCTTCATATCCTCAGCTGTCTTTAAAGGTATTCCATTGGTCATATTTACTCTCATCTCTTGTCCCCCCCCCTATAGGGTGCGTATAATCCACAGATCTATGTTTATGAAAATGCAGATGTTGTTCGGGTGATTGAGTATGCCAGACTACGTGGGATACGTGTGATGGTGGAGTTCGATACTCCGAGTAAGTGATCAGTTTGATATTCTGTGTTATTATTGGAATATCATTGTGGCGTTTCTCAGTTATCACACTGACGTAAACCATTCCACATTAGTCCTCAGACTTCTACGAATAATTTTCATTTAAAATGGAAAAATTGACTTTTTCTCCTGATTTGTTACTGATTTTAGGTCACACAAAGTCATGGGAAAATGGTTATCCAGGGGCTCGAACAGACTGTTACAGTGGAGATGCACCAGATGGAGAAACTGGTCCATTCAACCCTGCAAATGAGACGACATTTGAATTCCTCAAGGAGTTTTACAAAGAAATTACTTCAATATTCTTCGAAGGATACATTCACTTAGGTGGTAATGACGTTTCATATTCTTGTTGGTAAGATTTCGTCTTGTCTATTCTTAAGTGGGTATTAACAGTAAAATTAGTTCAACGGCACACTTCAAGGAATCCTTTAAGAGCTTCATGGTTTTTTTAAGTGTTGAATTTCCTGCTGTGTGTTACTTGGATGATCTCCATGAGAACGTTTCATTCTAATAGATCAATAACATAAAATAACACCACATCGGGCAACTGACTTATTTCATGAAAGTTTACTAAACATGGAATATGAATTTCAACACGTGCATGAACCCTTTTGTCCCGCAGAAGCCGAACTCCTATTAAAACTGAAAATGCTGTTCTTGGCGTTCATGGATTTGAGTAACAGATGAATAGTTGGTTTATCCCATAATAAGAAGTATTACAGCGGAAGGAGCAAGGAGTTACATTTCAGTATGGAATTATAGTTAACTATGTTTGAAGAAGCAAATACTGGTGGGGGTTTTTAAAAATTTTGACGCCGCCCACCCCTTACAAAGTTATCAGATACCTGAGTGATTGTTCCAGTCATCCAAGATAGTTGTCATTCTGGAAAACGAACACTTTCATCTGGTAAATGAATGAATAGAGGTTTAAATTGGAAACACCCCCAACACCTCCTCACATATGTAAGCATTGAAAAGTTCTAATCACAGCCCTAGCGCTGTAATACTTACCAATGCTTACAGATTGGTGATCAAAATTCATTAAACTTTTTCTTATAATAGGCAGTCAAATCCCGAAGTTTTGAATTTTATGAACGAGATGAATTTCGGTGATGACTTTGGAAAACTTGAATCATACTATTTTGATCATCTTACTAAAGTAATTCAATCAGTTCAACCGGAGGGATATGCTGTTACACCAGTTGTTTGGCAGGATGTTTACGAGAATGGCTATCGTGTAAGTGAATGCTTTCACCTTTTCGAATAATGTGGGTGATTTTCGGTGTAAAACTAAGATCCCTCTTTTAAACAACTAGTCTTCTTTGAATGTCCGTAGTTGTGGAAATATCTTTGGTTGTATATTGTTTCATTATAACTGGAATAACTTCAGGTGATTCATAGGAGGTAGTAAGTTCCTGCCACATAGAGTTTTACTTAGTAAATCCATTCTTCGTGGTCTGAGGGCAGGAAACCAATCTCTGTGACCAACTTCTTGCAGACAATCTAAGGTGAGAATGAACGTGATAATAATAATAATTGCAGAGTCATTTGAAACGTCCCATTAAGTGTTAACATAGTGATTAGATCGTATAGGAGGGATTTTTCAAGCGATCTTTCTTTTTTCTATAGTTGATGTGTAAGGATTGGTTTTGTTTCTACGAGTTGATCAAGGATTGATATCAGTTAGAGAACCATTGAAAACCAGTGCCGGAGTACTGGACAGCTGTTTCATCCTAGTTTGGGAATCATCGGTAGTACGCACCCACTGTACTGCCTCGTTTTCAATGGTTCTCTAACTGACATCAATCCGTGATCAACTCGTGCAAAACAAAGCCAATCGTTACACACCAACTATAGAGAATTAATCTGGTGCTCACTAGTGACTTGCTACAGGATGGAGTCTCCTAGAGTTCTAGTGAGAAAAAGTGACCAATGAGGTTCATCCAGTCACGTATGAGAATGGATGTTCCACTGATGACATTGGTTGGGGTCGCGCTGTATCATGAATTGATAGAAATCAGAATTCATGAGCCACTGAATCGGATCCCAGTGGCTGAATTGTATACGAACTTGCATTGTAACCGGAAGGTCTTGGGTTCGGACCCTGGAGGTGAGTGCTTACTGGCGATGGTTCCCAAACTAGGATGAAACAGCTGTCCGGTAAGCTAGTGCTGGTTTTCAATACGCGATCTTTCTGTTACATTGATCTATGTAATATTTTGTTACACTGACGTTTTTAACTTTAGAGTAAGGTTTCTTAGAACTAATAGTTACTTTTCATTAATATTTTGTCTCCTGAAGATTACCGTCACACATGTATTCAAAGATTGTGCAGAAGATCATCGAGTTTATTCTCGGTAACAGACAGTTATTCATTTGATTTCGCTTGTAGTTCGTGGTTTTGACAGTTGACAGAGTGTATAGAATGTAAGAAATTATACTTAAAGGAGAAATGTTCCGGAAATAAGGGGATAGTGGTTGTGAAAACAAAAGAATATCGCCTACCTCATAATAAAAATCTACATTATTCCAAAACCAGTACTTATAACTAGACGTGCGCGCGTAAAGTCTTTCGAAATGACTTCTTGTTCTACTTGAGGGGGTACAAGACGATTGCTGCGGGGAAAGTGGATGCTCACAGTTTGACAAAATCCTTTTGGTAAATCTATTGCATGAAATGAAATGCCTAACATTAGTGGTGATGTCAACGATAAGGCAGAATGAGATAGGATACCACTCGCCCTAATGAAAGTCTTTAGAGTTCTACAAAGTGTGACATAGTCATTTTTAAGCCAACTAGGAGAGAATAAGGGTGAACAATAAAGAAGAATAGGTAAGATGGAAGAGTCCACAAACTGTAAGAGGAGGGTTTGAGTTATGCCTGAGTGCCTTCTCAATGTAAAATGTCAGACAGAATATTTTTTAGAAATCGCTGAGACATGAGAAGACCAGGATAGATGAGAAAAAAGAATTAGTCCAAGATACTTAACATCAGACTTGATCTCTATGTCAAAATCATCAGTTTTGCAACAGTCATGGAAATTAACAGCTTCATTTAACTTTCTTTTATATCAGAAACTGAAATTACCAGTCTGACATTTGGAAGGATTTAGTTTAAGACCATTAGACAAAGACTATTTACTGACTCCTGATAGAAAGCTGTTCATCTTAGTACAGTCTAACTGGGAGCTAACAGGCATTGAAACAGTTAAATCCTCCTCATGCAAATTGTCACCCGTTCGAAAGCGTTTATCATTCAATTACGAGATGAAAATTCCATCCGATGTGAGGCTAGAAATGTGAAGGACGAATTAAAGGGGTTTCCATTGACTGAGTTATAAATACCAGGGACTTGAAATCTTTGTATCGCAGAGGGATTTTTTCGAAGTGTTCAGAATTGTTTCAGAAGATAATCAGCTCCCCATTTTGTCATCTAATAATCGTCTGTGTTAGTTCGACTGAGGTTCATGTGTCTGAGGAGATTCATGTTGGTGTTGGAACCTATACATTTTTGAATTGTACTTTTTTCTCATCAAACACATGATAATCACATTGTTCGAGTGAAATTTCACCGACACAGTGACCTGAAAGCATGTTTACTGCCTTTGTGATGTAGTGGGGGTATATGAATAGATTTTGGATTCAAAATGTATTCTCAAATAAGTCTCACGTTGTAGAGTAGATGACTCCACTGTATGCTTACACACTTAAATTACTTATCATAATAAATCCGTCGATCTATATCTGCGCAACATTTGTCATCAGTCCTTTGAAATCATTCAACTACTCAGGTCAGCTTCGTATATCATATCAAGTTGTCAAGTCACACACACACACACAATTCATGCTTCTACTAATTCCACAACTGACTTCCTATTTTTCTTTCCTTCAGCCGAGTAATGCTACTGTGATGCATGTTCGAAAGGCAGAAGATTGGCCACAACTTGTGAAATCTATCACATCAGATGGTTATCGAGTTATATTGTCGTCATGCTGGCTAATCAACAATGTTAATTTCTCTGGTGATTGGTATGATTACTATGAATGTGATCCTGGAGCATTCGAAGGTAAGCAAATACTGAGGATAAGTGTGAAAACGGATGTGCTTCATTTTTATTTCGATCATTTTCTCTGCATTTGTCCTGCCAGTCTCGTTTGTGTCTTTAGAACTTCTTCTGATTGTATTTTTTTTATTGTTTTACGTTCCCAGTGGAACATAGGGCGGCTTCAAGCTAGAGGCTTGAAGTTTCGGTAGAAGTGGTGCTTATTTTTACGGGATTGGGTTGCTAGCCAGCCTCATGCCCAACCTTTCCTCTTCACCAGCTTTTTTATTTCTGGCTTAGTGGGGTAAAGGAATGCGTCGGTGGCCAGGGATCGAACCCCGGACCATGTGCATACTCGGCGAGCATCCTAACCGCTGTGCCACCGACGCACTCTGTTTCTCTCAAATGTTTATCCGCAGAGGAAGTAAAAAGACTTATGAGCTCATCTCATAAATCGTCGAATATCCTGGATGTAGTATCATATATATTCCAGAGAGTTTATACGCTATATGACCTTTCGAATTATCTTAGATGGCAGATGCTTCTTAGCAAATAATGCTACCGAAAAAGAATGTATCCTGAAAATCAATTGAGTAAGCGCCTCAGTTCACAGTTATATTCATTTAAAACGTCATGTTGTAGTTAATTCAACTCCTAAAGGGCGATATTTTTAATAATTGCATAATCTTGAGTATAAGACTGATTCAGATGACGTACAATAAATGGGGGTTCTTTTTTCCACAAATCGAGCATTTAACTTTCAAGAAATTCATCAGCTTTGTCTAAATAATAACAGTGTACACTTAGGTATCAACCACACTGCTTATTTAAATCCCTACATAACCTATAATTTGAACATCAGTCTCCAGGGCATTAGTGCCTATTGTATGGATGTTCTGAATTTCTGTTTGAAAATCGTGAACGGTTGGGTCGGCTCTATTATTGGTCTTCGTTGGTAGGAGAGCTATATCCCAAAGTGACAGAAGTTAGAATTTATGCGTCGTTAGACTCTAGAACATTGGCTGAGTGATCAACAGGCTGGATTCTTAATCTGAAGGTGTATATTTCGATTTCCGCAGTGGTTATGGTTGCGCACTGTTGAAGAGTCTGGGTGTCGGTCGTAGTTTAACAGTTTCTGGTCCAAAAAGAAGTCCATTCTGATGTGGTGATTATTTTGATACTCTATTCCCATCATAATAGTTTATCTTTACAGGGTTGTACTACAAGTGTCCAATGCCTGTTCACACTTTCTTTGAAGATCGCAACATATTTGTTCAAATGTCAAACAGTTTACTAGAAGCATAACATTCTGTCCTTTTTTGGACCCAAGTGATCTATCCGTATGTTTTCCACAATTTAATTAGTTCGTGTCTTTAAGGAAAAGTAGCAGTTTCATAGTGGCTGGCATTATACAATCACTACCAGTTGCCTGCTTATTAAACCATCATTAATCGATCATGATAGATACTGACTACTCAGATATATCCTTTCCTTCGCAGTACTTATAGGAACTAGGCTTATTTTATAACGTTCAGCGTCCAAATTGCTACATAATCACATCCTATTTGTCTAATTGTCCAAGGTACTGAAGACGAACAACAATTGGTTGTTGGTGGAGAAGCAATTTTATTTGGAGAATATGTGGATGAGTCGAATCTTTTCACACGTTCATGGTGAGTATTGCTGTCTTTACTTCCAAGGGCATGAAAAAATACACCATTCGTGAATAACTTTTGTGGTGAATGATTGTATTTTGTAACTGATAACGATAATTGTCTGTTTTTTTTGTAAAATGTTTCTCTGAAGTTGAAGGTATTGTAGAACGGAGGACTGTTTATTCTATGTAATGAATTTGTAGTTTTGACTGTCAACGATGTTTAGCTCTTAAAACATGATGATACTGCATGATTTCAAATTCAAATATGACTATTCTAGGTTGATTGTCATTTGTTGATGTGACATAAACAGAATGTTAACTGGACCTATTCATCACTGTAATGTATGCGGCTTAAATTTGTTATAAGCGTAGACGTTTAGCGAACTGCTTAATACGTCATTTGGCTGACCATGTGAATGTTTCCTTTCATGGTGACTACATTGATCACCGACAAGTGAATAATTTTAGCACCTTTGCAGCATATGATGGTTGATCCATCATCATAATTTGGTATCTCAAGATAATCTGAAAACCCTGAATGCATTTTAAATAACCTCGACTAGACTTAAGCTTAATCAACAACTGTCTGCGCTCTATACCGAAGATCAGATGGCCGGCCGGAAAGAATCACCAACAAGAAACTATGGGAACAAACAAAACAAGAACCAATCGCTCAACAAATATGCAGGAGAAAGTGGAGATGGGTTGGACACTCGCTAGGCGACATCGCGCGTCAGGCCCTCTAGTGGAACCCGAAAGGGGAGTGGTGAGTGAGACGTCCAAGGGTGACATGGAGGAGATCGTGTGAAGAAGAGATGAAACAGTATGGACTAACGTGGATGCAAGTTAAAAGTACAGCAGAAGACAGAAGCAAGTGGAGACGTGTAATTGAAGCCCTATGTTCCACTAGGAACCCAAGGGAACAATAATAATAATAATAGACTTAACCCGCTCTTGTTCAGATCGATTTTATGGATGATAATGAACAAATTGAAATTCACGTATCCGAGTTAAGATTTAATTTTATTGTAGCAAATATTTTGGGTTTCATTTTAAATCTGATATGTCTGAAGTATATGAGACCAGACATGGAGCAAAGTCTCTTGAAAGAGCCAAATATGCGCAGAACTGATTTGCTCATATTTCTCTCTTTGAAGGCACATTCGAATGTGTTCTGGAATGTACAAGGTGGAATGCTTCGACTAATGACTCACATAGGCATGTAAGTGCGTGACCTTATCCTTAGGTGAGTTTGCCTGTCACACTTACAAAAAGACTGACTTCTTTTATATAGGTCTCAATCAGTATTCTGCCTATCTTACAAGTACTGCGGGACGAGTGAAAAGTAGAAATAAAAAGTATTCACCGCGTATCTGTAACCACAAGTATATTTATAATGAATGTGATTAGAATTTAAGAATATAAAAAGGTTTACAACTTATCTGTACCCAGAGAAGTAGCGAACTCAAAGAGTGTACTTGTAGAAGAGCACAGCGAGGGAGCAAGCGTGCAAGCGCCAAAACTTACAGGAAGTCAAGTAGCGTAGCGCTAAAAATATGGAGTACATATTAAAACAAAAGTTCAAAGGTTCAGTGTACACTACAGGCATATGAATTACAGCTTTTGAGTTGCTGAAGACATATTCAACTTGTTAATCATAGCAATACATCCAGCACAATAAGGCGAATCCTCCAGTTGTCTCTTTTATGCTATGGAGAGATCAAGTGCATGAAACAATTTGATTATGCATCGCATAGATTTCCATCTATCTGGTCACAATAAAACCTCTAGCATACAGTATATGACAGAAGCATGATGAGGAAAAGCCATCATTGCTGACCAGCGTGAATCTTTTGTCCTTATACCTTTGCTAATCATTACACAACAATACAAAGTAATTAGTCGAATTCAATTTGTTAATTTATCATCCACACAAAAGTTATATAACAACGGGAAATTCAGTTATCTTTAAAAGGAATTGTTAGTGTAGTTAATTCATTTGAAAACACAACCTTCTAACCTTTTTTTTAATTTACTCTCAATAGGCCTGATAGTGCAGTTATAGCTGAACGTCTTTGGTCACAAGGTGAATTTGATGTTGATGAACTTAAACCAAGGCTAACAGAATTGCGTTGTCATATGAGAGAGTAAGTTGATTAATCATCAATTCTATGAAGATATTGTTTCATTTCTATGCATTGTATAACTTATGTTTGGTCAAAGGGAAGGGATACTGTTAATAAAGGTATCACAGGATGACCTTTAACTGTATTGCTCCGTCTACTATTCAGCTACAGTGCATTTTTATATTCGATGTGGTTATTTGAATAAAATCTTATAGAATACCTAGTCATATAATGAACAATCAGCAGGGAGTGCTGGACAGCTGTTTCGTCCTAGTTTGGGACTCTTCATCAGTACGCAACAACCGGGGTTCCAGCCCGGGACCTTCTGCTTACAAGGCGAACTAGTTCACAGACCATTAAGCCGGTGGGACCAGATCCAATGGCCAGCCAGTCCATGAATTCTAACTTCTGCTAATTGATGACATAGCGCGACCACTTCCCAATGTTTTCTTCGATGAGTTACTGCCTCACCTTCAACCTGCTGTACTCTACTGGTCACGGCTTCCCACTAGATCCCCCGGTTAACTGCCTGAATAGGGCCAGTAGTTAGTGAGCATCAAATTAATATTCAAGTATTGGTTTTTGTAGGGATTTTGTTTGATTAGCTGGAGGATTTCATCATGAGCTGACATCAGTTAGAGAATCATTGGAAAAACTGGGAGTAGGACTCTTCTTCTGTCCAGTACTACCTGCAGGTTTTCCAATGGTTCTCTAACTGACGTCGGTTGATGAAAAAATCTTCCAACCAATCATAATGGTATATGTCACTACATTTCCGCGCAGACTTCATTACGCATTCTCTTTTCTTTTATGAATAGTTTTGGAATGAATGCACAACCAGTGAATGAGCCTACGAGCTGTTTACAACCATAAAGATTCACCATTCAGCAATTGATGTCTGTTTGTATTATTAAACTTCCAAATATAATTAAATCTGCTCACATTGTCTTCCTTCTGTACACCACTTAATGCTGAGCTGACTTTGATAACATCAGTAACAACAGGCATCATATTTTCTTCCTGTTGCTACAGATGACTAATCCATAATACGTAATTCAGAGTAAAGCGAAATGGTTTCATCAGAGGAAAACTCATATAGACTTACGCTTAACACATCACGATGCACTCTATATGAATCGATACGAAGGCTTCAACAAATGTTAACTCATTGATACTAACTTTAGTTTAATTTTGTAGTGATTGTTAGCTGTCTCGTCTTAGTCATCAAGCAATTTTTCAATTTCATACGATGTATCACTTAAATGTGTGGTGAAGACCTGCTTTTCCACCTAACATTCCGACTGCAGAAATAGGACACTTAGTCTAGTGGAAGAACACAGTCGTCTTACATGAATAAAGTAACGACAACAAGTTGAGCTGGATATCATGAAATGAGTCAACTCTTGTCAACTGCATGCAACGTTAAAGAATTTTAATCTAAAAATTCACATGAGTACTTTAATGTATCTGAAGAACGTGTTTTTTATGACATCAACTAACCTTTTACTGAGACGTTCCGCGTAAACTACGAAACTTCTAAGACATGATTCAAGAATAGAGGTCTTTTTCCTCTTCCACTGCTGATTAAGTGTAGACTAGGCTCTCTGACTGTCCACGGATATAATGAGTTTATTTGTAACAGTGAATATATTACGGTCATTGGAGATTTCATCTTATTTTCAAGTATTGATTTTTGTGGGGAATTCGTTTGATTAGTTGGAGGATTTCATCATGAGCTGACATCAATTAGAGAACCGATGGAAAACCTCGGTGAATTGGAGAGCCATTTCGTCCTAGTTTGGGACTCTTCATGTGTCAAGTACTCTCGGGTTTTCCAGTGATTCTCTAAATGATGTCAGCTCTTGATGAAACCCTCCAACCAGTTTCATCTTATATCACTTAATACTAAAACTAGAAAACTTACCATAATTGCGTACGTATTCGTGATTCAGTAAATAAATCTTATGAAATTTCAATTCCATTTGACGCTGATAAAAGCGATATGGTATGTGACTGGCTACGAAATTAGATACTGAATTAAGTAAGTGTCGAAATGCAACCAGTATGTCCCATTGTAAAGTTAGTTCCTTATCGTCAGTGTGAAACAACGTAAGAAGTACTAAATTCGCTAATTGTATTGAAAAACATATAAGAGTTGGTGTTTTGACAGGATAGTTCGCTCTCAGTGTTGAAATCACACCGATGCGATGAGAGTAGGAGCTGTCACTATCAGATATTCTTGCATTATTCATTTGCGCATAAGAAATAAGGATTGATTTGGTTTAGAGAATAAAATTTCTCACAGAATAAGTAAAATATTTCATATCTGTCTCCATCAGACGTCCTGCGACTGCGACTACAGACAGCGTAACAGATGAACAGTAATCATGATTTGAATTGCCAGCTTGACCCTGATTGGTTGTTTATGGCCAGGGGTATTGCCAGTTCCTAGTCTTTGACATCAATCTTTATGTCAACTTACTCTGACCCTAACCCTTACTCTAAAGGTCAGTGGCTTGGAAAAATTTCGACGCTGCTAAGATGAAATGCTACATATGCCTACATCATGTTAAAGACCGGTATGGTATTTGATATTGTCACACTTCTTGAGCACTTTTACGAAAATAGATAAAGACTGTCACTCGAGTTAACTTTTTTCTAGAGTCGTTTCAACTGCATTAGTGAACTTGTCCAATCAAGGATCTATTGTTGAACTTCTCCCATCCTTCTTGATCGTCTTTTTTCATCTTTACCGAATTTCTCTATACTTCCAGTTATGTCTGTGAAACTTAAGTGGTCGGAAAACTTATACACAAAAATTTTGGTATTAAAATGGACATTTAAGTACTGAGAATATGAAGTCAGATGTTTTGCACATATTACAAAGTAATTTATCGATGATGTTGCTGTCATTCATGTGGTTTTATTATTGTTATATTCTTGTTTCCTTTAATTCCTAGAGGAACATAGGGCTTCAGCCAAACGTCTCCATTGAGTTCGGTTCTCTGCTAGAGTCTTCACCTGGCTCCGAGTCTGTCCACACGCTACCATCTCCTCTTCACATCATCTCCTTTAAGTCACCCTCACCCTCGCACTGACGACCGACTCGCCGCTTCCCTTTCGGGTTCCACTCGAGCAATAGCCTGTCTAGTGATGCATTGTTTTCTCAGAGTATGGTCAATCCATCTCCATTTCTTCCTGCCTATTTGTTTCACAATCGGTTCCTGCTGTGTTGGTTCGCTCATTGCCAGAGATCCCTGTTGCTGATCTTTTCTGGCCATCTGATCTTGACTGGTATTGAGCGAAGACAACTGTTAATGAAGGTCTGTAGTTTGTTTGAGATGCTGTTTATGACGCGCAGTGCAAGTCTCTGATCCGTATAGTGAGTATCACTGACTGACTTCACATTGGAGTTGAAAATCCGGATCTTATTTTTGATTCTGAGTGCTGTTGACCACCACACAGACTTGAGAGTAGTGAAAGCCAATAAACCAAGAAGATATTCCATTCTTACTGAAGATAAGACTTTATGTTTATGTGTATTCATCAGTGGAAAATTTTCTATTTTGCCTACACTGTTATCGAATGTCAGATTGAAGATATTTTCACATGTTTAACCACTGTCATGAGAGTTACATCGATTTTTATCCAGTCACTACATATTACTTAACTTTCTGTCATAGTAATCAGATACAGGTGTCAGCTTCTGAGTGCACCTTTTGATACTCAACGAAGTAGCTTCTGTACAACGAAATTATCAGATTTCTTAAGGAGTGTTAGAAAAGTGTATTATCGTGTATAGACATTCCCACTGAATAATGAGGCCTCACTTTCTGTAGGAGATACCTACACAAATATCTTAAGTGCTAAAATGTTTTTCACAGTATATCAAGATATGAAGGTAAATTTGACGACGACTGGTAGCATAACACTACTAGAAATATAAGCTGCATTTGTGGTAGTAGTGTGGTTTACTCTACTGATAAGATTTGCAAGTAGTACATATATATATAAAGAGAGAGAAGTTCACCAGCATAAAAACATCCAACATCAGGGAGATAGAGTTTATGTCAGGGAAAGCAAAATGATACATCCTTGTGAAGGTACATGGGAGAGATGCAAGGAACACAAAGATACACAATATGAATTCCAGAAGCAGCACAACACGGGAGATCTGTAGAAACGCTTCGGTGATGATAAGGCAGACATCATTTGAGTAAACTAAGATACCGAATTGTAAATAAACGTTACTTTACCAAGTCTTCCACCGTTACAGTAGTAGTAGTGTAATAGTAGAAGACAAGACACTTGGTAACTGAAATTTTTATCGAGGAAAAACTCACCACATTTATATATTTTTAGCCACATTTATGGTTGACTAGCTCAACGGATGGCAAACTATTCTGATTCGTTGATGACTTTCTGAAGGTTAAACCTTGGGATGTAAAGTTATCCAATGAGGTTATTTCCTGACCACAACGTAGGCGCTAAATCCAGATTTGAGGAGTAAACACTCGACTTAAAATGTTGTTTATGGCAATTAGTAGTGATAGTAAGTACCATGGCCTGCTTGAATCACTGGGCTAACTGACTTTTAATCCAAAATAGTGCATAGATTTTCTTTGTTATAACCACCCACTGATGTTCATGATTGGCCAAATTTACTCATTACTCATAGTTTTAATTGGCTTTCAACCTACGGCTGCTCATTTCTCTGTGAGGAAAGCAAAAATACTACAAGGGATTACTAAATATTTTCAGATTGAACGGTATTGTATCCCATGAGGTACTGCAGATTGCTGCTTCACCTGAAGGTCCTGGATGATTTGAAAATATTATGCAATAAGCTACGCTGAAAATTCTGTGCACAATAAGGCTGTTATTATTACTATTAACATCGGCAGAAGTAGTGGTATTGTAGCGGTGTGATACGGACAATGTGTTCCGGCGGAATATTATTCTCACATATTCCCACAGTTGAAATACCGTATTAGCAACAGAATAGGATTTATCTTTTTAAACATTCCACTTCGTTTCGTTTAATGGGAACCAAAATCACACTCTCAGGGATTGTTTAAATAATATAAACTGTATGTGTTTAAATAGAGGTTTGTTCAGTTGAAAATATACCTTTGCTTCCGTGTTTTACTTTCTATTGTTACAGTATTAGCACTCGTATGCTAAGAATATGGTATCACCATCATTGGCACTACTTTTATGATTGATAGTAGTATAAATGTTAGTATTAGCATTCGGATATTACGGGTAGTGTTGCGTGTGCTACTGACAAGATTTATCAGTAGTATAAAGACGGACGTTCATTGGTACAAACATATCAAACAACAGAGAGATAGGTTTGACGTCACACAGTGGGGAAACGAACCAATGTACTGCGGTGAAACATGAGACACACGAAAAGAAGACAAAGGAACACAAGACAAAGGAAGAACAGAAGTAGCACAACGCGGACGATCTGTGCAAATGACGACTGATTTCCAGAAAAGGTGTACATAAATTCCCTATATGTTTGTGTCGAATTCCTAATAAACACTCCGATACCAATTCTATTGTGTCCTTTCATCCGTTACAGTAGCATAAATAACGATATTGATTTTGCTGAGAATTCCTAATGAGTATATTTTTTATTAAAAGTGCTTACTTGAAATTTGGTTTTCAGTTTTATCACTTTAATCTACTTCGATTTAAGAAAACTCTTTCATCAATATCTCATGATTATGCTTACTTTGCTCACACGCTTAATAACAACAAATGTAGTTATGAGATGCGAAAGATTGATCATTGAACGCAGAGAATTGAACAGCGGACTTTTTAATTATTCTGTTAATTTACAACTCTCATTCACACATAAGACATATCTATATATCATGAA